TCAGTTTATGTGAATTATTAAGGTTTAAATACCCTCTGCTCCCAGTGGTCTTTTAAGCGGATTGTCAAACCAAACTCCATTCTAAAAGATGATGGGTGATGCGCTTTGATCTACAGTCACAATCGGCACACATGTCATTTACTTAGTAACATCATTAACTAACCTGTGATGAAGTGCCACAGACATACACAAGTGACTGGCAGGGTCCCACAGTTTACAATTTTCGTCCTCTCTGTGGATGAAACCACAGGTCTCTTCTTTTCACTCATTGGTCATTCACAGTGTTTTTCTTATTGTTTGATGTGCAAAATGAAACATAGCAGCATTTTGGCATGGTGACACTGGTCTTTTTACGTTTAGCTGCAGAACTTTTACAGCACTTGTTTTTTTACCCAAAAGGGAGCTTGGTCATTCTGAACACAATAAAGTGACGTATGCCTGCTCTGATGAATAAACAAATCACCAAACTCAAAGAGAAGAGCAGTAGGCGGGCCCTCCAACATAAGCAGTTAAATAGAGGTGTCTGGTTAGGTTAAAGGTAAAATAAACAGAGTAAAACATTTTACAGCTGCTTTCTGAGGCTATGTCAGTAAAAAGAGTAGCATCCTTAAACATTATCTCTCATTGATCTGGAATTATCACTTTATCATTGAACTCAAACACACGAGCACACACACAACCAGCCTAACACATTGCTGTGGACTGAGGCAGTTTTACAAGGGGGCCTGCTGTTTACACAATCAATGGTGTGTGATGGGAACAGCAGCACAAGCATGTCATAAAACAACTAGCAGCAGATCAATGAAAGCTTATAACTGGATCATTTAGGTCTGTTTGTCTCTATGAGGGGATGATAAGCACTGCTATTTAGCACTGTAAAACTAGATATAAACTGTGTTAATCCTATTCAAACATACCTCTACACATGTCCATAAACACTGAGGCTATATGAATAGCCACATATGTCTACAAATTTTTGTTTATAGATATGTTTAACTGTACATATAAGTCTATGTCTTTTTTGTCAAACTTTTTCTGTTTTTTTATGCTGTTAGTCTGTGTTTGTATATTGAGAGCAAGTCAAATCCCTTGTATGGGTGCACATACCTGGCCAATAAAAGTGATTCTGATTCTGATATAAACTGATAATTATTGGATTACATAGAACCATCTGTCATTGTTGGAAACTATTTGGAAAAGAGCAGGCACTTTCAAAAAAATACTTGGTAATTGGATGAACCATCTGTCTATCACCATCTATGATGGGCAAACTTCAACCAGATTTTCAATGAGAAAAGCTGTTCTTTACTATTTTTTAAAATTAAAAAAAAAAAAAAATGCTCCAGTTCTTATATAACTAGAGATGCACTGATACTGATACCAGTATCGGGTATCAGGGACATCCAAGTAGTTTGGCCACAAACTCAGAGGATGAAGCCAAAATACTACAAAGGTACCCTCTTAGATGCCCCTATTGTACATGGCAAAGTGCTCTCTAGGGTGCTAATCCTAAACCTGAACACGTTCTTTTTTACCATAAATGTATCACAACTTTCTTCCACAACTGGATTGCAAGGTTAGTGTTCCATTGTAAATGCAATGGTCACTTTTACTATGTAAAAATTACATCTGTAAAGTTGAATGTAATAACATTTCTGTTACACTTCCACAGACCAGTGAACTGAATATCATTGTTACTGGATGAGTCTGCACCTCAAGATTCATGTCCAGTGCCAAAATCCATTGCTAGTGCAGGAAGCACTGAGCAGTATGTCCTTTTTAAAGTGAGCGAACAGTAAGGGTGTGGAAGTTGGGGTCATAAATGGGGGTGTAAAATACATGACCAATACATACCAAACAGTAGACTTGACTTCACATCCTGTCACACACCTGAAATTAACATTGGCTTTTGTAACCATGAACTGTGGTATTTTCCAAACCTAAACTAGGTTTGATTGGTTTAACCACAACCACGATCTTTCCCTATACTGTAGGGAAAGCACAAATATTGTAGAAAGAAAGAACCTAAAGGACCCCTGTTGGAACCTTGCTCAACTTCCTCCTTTCCTGTACTTAGATATACTATGTGCTAGACTCATCTGTGTTGAAAAGACCACATATTGAAGATGGTTAAAAAATAAAAGTGACATATAGTATACAGTCCTATCATAAGTTCGCTAATGTTAGCAAAAGGTTAGCTAACTAGTTGACTAATAAACTTAAATCGTTAGCCAGTTAATTATCTAGCATTTTGCTAACATTAACTATCAAATGTAACTAGCTAGCGCACAATTAATAAAGATTAGGTCGCTAATGTGACTATATGTGAATTGGGGTGGCTGTGCTCAGGCGGAAGAGCGGGTTGGTCACCCATCAGAAGGTTGGTGATTTGTTGATCCCTGGCTACTCTTGCTGCATGTTGAAGTGTCCTTGAGCAAGATACTGAACCCCAAATTGCGTACGATGCTGTGCATTGGTGTGTGAATGGATTAGGTTCTGTTTGTGATAAGCCTCTGCGATCAATGTGTGGATGTGACATGTAGTGTAAAAGCATTTTGAGTGGTCAGAAGACTAGAAAGAAGCTACATAAGTGCAGTCCATTTGCCATTTTATGTCTTTTCTTTTAACAGCATTCAAAATGTGCTTGTCTTTGCTGTGTTTGGCTCAACACAGATGAGCCTAGCACATAGCATGTGCAAGTACAGGAAAGGAGGAAGTTGACAAAGGCTTCCTCAACTGTCATTTGAGCAGGGTAACAAGGGGCGGGACTTCAATCCCGTTGAGTCAATCATCCAACATCAACATGTCTGGTGGAAAGTTAAGGGTTCAACGTGAAAATGATTTTCAACATTCTTCACTGAGCTTGTTAGAGAAATGAAAACACACAGCTCCCTTTGTATCGCTTGATTCATTACATACCATTTTAAATATTCTGAACAAATTTGATCATGGGAGAGCTGAGTTACTCAGGTCATGCTCCACACAGATCATTTTGCTGTGTTTTACTCTGTGATTTTAACACAACCGTTTTTAAAGTGTAGCTGCTGTAATCAGTGCTGGTTATAGAAAAATGTCACTGTACAACAATGACTGGGGCCAGGCTGATAAGACTTTTGATCCATTTCCTCTGACATTCCATGTCTCAGACATTACAATACTGGCTTTGTGTTTGCTGAGAGACAGAATGAGATTTATGGTTTGATGTTTCTGTGATGTAATTGTGAAATGAGGCCTTTTATGGCACATTTTCCCACAAGTTGTGGTCTATTAAATTCTTGGCCATTATAATAACTTTAACTAACTATATCATCACCTTTCTAAGATAATGGCTTAAGTATTTTGCCTAAATAATCTCCTTATGATGCTGGCCACCTCTGGTAAAATCATCTTCATCCTCAGTTGAACAGATCATGCGATTCTACCCATGCAGTATGATGGCCTATGTCAAGAATGTGACTTAGGCAATTTTACAAGCTTTTCAAGATGGCGGCTGCTTCAAAAAGAACAAAATTCTACCTAGTCACTGAAGTTATTTCCAAAGAAGAGCTGGAGGGAGAAGTGAGGAGTTACAGGCAACAGGTGTATTAGGGATGGTTGAGGGGATGTTCTTGATGAGCTCAGTCTGTGCACACTGCTGCCTCTTTCTGGTCAATGACCTGCCTTTTTGACTGTGATATCAATTTCACATTGTAGTTTCCAAAAGTCCCAAGTCATTCCATCATTTGGAAACTGCTCAATCAAAATACAATTTCAACCATCACAGATCCTGTATTATTAGCTAATTATGTTTCCCAGTATTGGGTCTCTTTGTCAAAAACTAGTTTTATTATTTGTATTTTTAGTTGGTATCATGCTTACATGATGTAAAGTCCTAAAGAATGATGTGTTTAAAGAAATCAGCACAAACTATTGACGCACTATAAATGTGTTTCAGGGCTGTTTATGTTATTCACACATTTTGCGCCATAGTTTCCCCTCGTGCTTGGAAAGGGAGGTGTAGGGGAGTGAACAGCAATCTGTAAATATACCATTAGATGCCACTAAATTCTACGCACTGGACCTTTAATGTACACTGTTGGTAATATTTCAAACACTCAGGCATTACTAAATGATATGCCAAGCAGATCACTGAACAAAAAGGACTTGTATCAAAAAAACATTTAGCAACATTAAAGCTGACCACTACAAGATAGTTATTACTCACCATGTTGCCAGACGTGCAGTTAGGTTGCTTGTGTTTCCACACTCTTGTGCAGGATGAGTTATGCAGCAAGCTTCCGATTTTTCCTTTCTTGAATAAATGAAAGCATCACAATGGTAAATGTTAGTAATACAAAGGAAGATTTTACAAAAGGCAGCTAGTTTATACATATATATATATATATACATACACTGTATATATAATTATTTTTTCGGGGGGTTGCCTTTATTTGATAACTCAAGATGAATAAAAAAGGGAATGACATGCAGCAGAGGGGATGGATTCCGACTCGGTACCCGGGGAACCTGCTCTAGTACGTGAGCTATAAGGAAACCCTTAGTTTCAAGTTGTTTGTTTATCATTTTTATGGAAACATTTTATTGCTTTCAAAGAATGTTTTTGTTATAACAATTGTGATACGCTATATTTACAGTTCAAACTTCTACCTGCATGTTACACCCAGTGTGAAGTGCACTCCATACAGGCTTTCCCACAAATTACAGACACATATCTGAGCCTGTGTGTTTTTCTCACTTCATGTTAACATGCAAACCAGCTTGTTTCCTTGTTTTGCTTTAGTTTCCTTGTATGACTGGCAGCCTTTTTTTTCGTAACAGGGCAGGAAGATGTATAAAAAAATTATAAATAACAAAAAAACAGAGGAAGAAGGAAAGTCCAGTCTGACTGTGCAGTGAATGCACACAAACTGGTTAACATTTCATACCCAATATTAGGTTGCAGCTGCTTTTGCACGATCAACATCTCCAGTGTTTCAGCACCTTTAAAAGTGTTGCTTTAACTTGTCTGCTTCTCTTTTACGGTAATTCCATCTCCTCCTTAATGAGGAGAAAAATTATTCTGCGACGCATCTTGTTCTACATTAGATGGGACTGATCCCTTGAGCGATCATTTCCTCTCGCTGGATGACAAAAGTTTATTTCCCTCATGTGCAAGCAGGGAATGGAATGGTAATAAATGAAAAATAAATAACTAAATAAGAATTGGTGTCTCACTTACTGTGTTTTCAAGATGAGTTTGCACGATTATGTAATCGTTTTTCACTTCTGTGGGATGTCTTTTGCTGTCACAGGACAGAGATAGAGGTAGAAGCAGAAGAAAAAGGAGACTGATGCAAAGAAGAGGCTGAGAGTTCATGGTCACAGGGAGAGGGACACGGGGAGAGAGGGAGACAGAGACATTAGTCATCTAATCCAGAACATGTCTGCGTGTAATACAGTTTAACACTTTCCATAACAATTGGTCCTGAGTGTCCATTCAATTTAGTACAACTTTATTCCTGTACCCTGCCCTTGAACCCCACTTTAAAAACCACTTCAAATCCTTCTGACCAAACATCACAGCAGGCTACCATGATTACAGTAAGTTCAATGAAACAACAACAACCTATATAGGAAAATAACATCAATAAGTACATTAATTAAAGTACAGTTTTGAGGTACAGCACTTGTACTTTAGTGTTTTCATTCAATGCTACGTTCAACTTTTTCCCTAAACATTTATGGAATAGCTTTAGTTACTAGTTAGGCTACTTTATAGATTAAAATTTAACATTAAAAACATTATTGTATCAAATATGATATAGAATATGATGGTTATAGATTAAATTATCATACAGTGTATACAGTAACTGCACATGATTAGTCGCAAGATTATAATGTTGAATACGTAAATGCGTCAGCAATTAAAATCCAACAACATCATAATATAACACCCTAAAAGAGGCATTTTCTTATTTACTACTAATATCTCCGGATGTTAACATTTAGGCTAAGTGGAACTCCAAGCAGTCCTATCAGTTCTTATAAACCAGAAGCCAATTCCCGTAAATCCTAAAATCTATTTCAGTTTCCTTCTGACTGGCATATGGGAAGTTATTTACGCGGAATTCCCCGGGTTGGAAAATCCTTAAAGTCTCCAACATACAGTAAACCAGCCAGTCGCTCGGCGGAGAAGGCAAGGGGACGGATGCGGCTCCGGTAGGTTTCGAAACGGTTTCACTACGCTGCTTTTGGGACTGCTTTTGCATGTGCGCTTTAAACAGACCTAAAACTAAACACTGAGCGAACTTCAGCTTTTAATACGGCGCTAACATGTTGGTGTGTTGAATGTCAGTTTTTATTCAGTGCGTCACCGCTTCAGGCCACTTGAGTTCACCTCCACGCCGTAGTACGCTGTTTCTTTACTCACCATTGGTCATTCTTCATTCATATTCACCGCGGGCTAGGGCTTGAAACTGCCGCTCTCGCGCGGGTCTTCATCGCCGCTCAGGTGCTCACTTCGTGCGGCTTTAACACCGTGGAGACAAACGCAGTCCTCCTCTCACTATTGCTTGCGGTTCTGGCGGCTTTCGACTGCAGGGATAGCCTAAGTCTTTTCACACGTCCGGCGCTCTAACCCTTAACGCAGCAGTGCAACCTCAGCATGTGATTTTTTTTTTACTTCCGTCCTTAGCAGGTTTCACTTTACTGTCCCAGATGAATTTAGATGTAAAACGTTACGGCTAACCCTGCAGTGGTCTGTGATGACATGGCTGTTTGTTGTGATGCATGGAGGCAAAACTGTTGATTTAAGACAGTTTTTTTCCATACAGGCTTGTTGGACACACAGCTGGAGGACGTACCTCTGGGGCTGGCTGACCCCTTTACTCATTCATTCAAACGCTCTGTTTAAGTGAAATGCCACACATGAGCACGTTAAGGGCTGCTGCTTCAGCCAAAACAGCACATAAGACCCCTTTTCAGCAGCCAATAGTAGGGTAAACAGGTGTTACTAATGATACTAATTAATGCCTTTGTGCATGGTGGCACATCAGAAAGGCTCTACTACTACACTAAACTGAACAGAACCTTAACTTGTAATATTAGTAGCCTAACACCTGTGTTTACCCTTCATGTCAAACTGGATGCTGTGAAAAAGGTCCATTAAGTGCCTTGCTCAATTCCATGGGTGAGCAGTTGTCATTCCCTTCCTCGCCCAGGGTTTGTGTGCCTGTCTGGAGGTGAACTCCTCTGGTCACCTCTCACCTCTCCAAACCTGCCCTCATTCACTCAGTGACCGTTTTATTCATTCATTCATTCATTCATTTATTTATTCATTTCTTCATTTGCACTGCCCATAACCTCACTTTGGGGATGGACTTGTTCCAGTAGGCAGTGAGTAAATGTACAGGAATTTCTTTCCCTGACCTGATTTATTGTAAAATGTATAACTTTAATGATAGCACATGACTATGTCATATTAACAGTATTTGTATTTTTAATGTTTCTTATAAACTGAATGATTAATTATTCCTTTGTGGATTGAATTCTCTTTCTTCTTATTATATTATTATTCTCATTATCTATTTAAAACCCTCTTGAATTAGCTGGAAAATGTATTGTCACCATGCTGAACACAGGACTGTTTTTCTGAGAGATACGTGGTTTTCATAGGACAGCAACGTTACAAACATGATCTTGTAGAATATGATGCATTGCTGTAGATTAATCTACCCAACAGTATATGAAGTAGTTAATACAACCTTAAACAACTACAGCAGTAAAATGTTATAACCGCAGTGCTGCATCAATGTGTATAATGCCTGGTTAAGTTTGTAAAAATGTGATGTAGAAACACATATACTGAGAATGACAACTTTAGAAATGAACACAATTAACATATTCATAGATTTAATGAGGTAGCTGGACTAGATGACTTTTTACGGATTGTTTTGTGGAAAAAGCATATCAAGCACAGGTTACTGTTCCAAGAATACTATTGTCTTAATAATGTATTAATTAGTGGTATTACTGGATGGGATCTCCTGTCATGTACCTTTTTTGTTAACAAATAAGACACTAATTTTGATTTTAGAGCTTTCAAATGTTTATAAATGATTATATACAATAAATATAATTGATCAGTTCTTAAGATAAACATAATCAATTTATTTAAGTAAATTATTATACCAATTTAATATATAATATTTAGTCACCTTTAATCTTTAATTTGTCCTTTGGAGCAATTGAAAATGTTTTCTCTGCTAATCTATGACGACACCTATACAGTTAAAGATAACAGTTCCTGAATATAAGTAATAAATGGCAGATAAACACGGTATTTATGGCAGAGACTCGGGGCTATGCAAATTGATCAACATCTGTAAGTTACCTAGAGTATGGTCCACTTTGACCACATGCTCAAAAATGTTCAGATCAGCCACAAATGGAATGTGAACCGAGCCAGTGACCAAGCACAACAATTGCTTGAATTATTTGCAAAAACTTGTAATAACATTCTTCAGAAGTTTGGTTAAAAAGATATACAAGAAGCATGTTATTGTAAGTCTTCACAGAAACCTGAAGTAAGCTCTCA